ATATATATATATATATATATATATATATATATATATATATATATATATATATACTTCAATCAGATGAACCCTTTGTTTACTTTTAAAATGTGAAGGGAAAATACAACTAAATGATGACATCAATGATATTTACTTTGCTCTACCATTGACTACCCCCATTCCACCCAAGATTGTGCTTAAAATTTCTGTTATCGTAAAACGGATATACAAGTCTCTTTGTTTGTACAGCTGTGGTCTATGTGCACACTTACTCACAGTTCGTGCCTCAACATTATGATAAGCTACACTCAAAAAGTAAATGGACGGTATGATCAAATGCTGAGCACAGGAAACTATAGTGCACAGATTGAAACATGTAGAAGATACAATATTTCAAAATATACACGTCATCACTAGATGCTAAAAATAAAAGTATTTGCATACACAGTAAATAACAACATGTGTCAGATACATCCGAGTAATTTTTCGTGTGTTCTTTTTTTAACACTCGCATGTTGTTATATCTCCTGGTATTTACAAAAAAGGATTATACAGATCCTGCACAAACACCCAAACTAGTCCATCACTGACACTGTGTTTATGACTGCCATGATGGTCTCTGTGCACACTTACTCACAGCCTGTTCTACACCATCACGATAACCTACACTTAAAAACTGAGGAACAGTACAAGTAAATTCTGAACTGGCGAAACTACGCACTGCTATCAGGTGACGCGTAACTATGTTGAAAAAAGAATTTTTCAAATTGAACACTTCATCAACTAAATGGAAAATATAAAATGATTTGCATACACACTAATCTTGTTTTCTATTTTAAACTCATGTTTTTATATCTCCTGGCAATTACAACAAATATAGAGATTATACAGCGGTGATTCAAACCACTCCCGACCTATGACATACTCTGTCCGACGACGAAAGAAGAAGCAAATAAGCAGACCCAGAGTTTGTAAATTGCTCATTTTAATACTCACACCGTTATTCAGATCAGTGTTTCTTTCACCACCTCAATCCATCCAAGATTGTCCTTAACATTTTGGCTATCGCGAAGCAGGTATATAAGTTCTCTGTTTGTATTTTATGATGAAGTTAGGGTATGGAGTGGGTATTCGTGATAGAAAGATTAGCTCGCCAAGGACACTTATTATGTATAAATGTAAATGTCGTATACTATAGTTTCTGTATGCAACACGCATTTAATACTTGTGATTCAAGAAAACAACTCAAATATAAATGTAACATGACTCGTTACAGCAGGGAATTTCATTTTAGGAGAGTCTTAGATTGTCTTGACATATGTGGACATTATATTCGTAAATTAATGTACTTCATATACAGCATATCGCCAGGGGTGGTTTCTGTTCCCTCTATGTATAATCGATAATGTCCCCCATTGTTCTTGCAATACATTGTTGGTAGTAAATAGAATATGACTATTACCTTTCTTTATTTATATTAATCCAGGCTCACAAATGTCACACGAACCGTATATAGGTTTCAAGGTACAGTTTTAATACAACCATCCACGAATGTAGTACTTGAGATTGTACATGGTAAAGTATGTGCCTAGTACACTAAATTACTTCTTCACAATGAATATACCCATTCATCACAGAGATGCATACTCCTCTACTCTGCATATGGCATATGTCCCACAGAGTTCAGATTTATGTTTTGGAATCATGTGACCATATTTGTTAGAATATTGAAAATGTGATTGATTCCTAATTTGATTACATACTGCCTCTCATCCCGTAAAAATGCTTTTTTGGGAATGCTAGGTTGGCTATTGATGGAAATGAAAATCATTATCACTTTAATAGAAGTTTTAGTCATACTGGGTTGATTCGGGAGAAATTTATTCGATATCGGAAATGGTCAAAACAAATCGACTGGATTGCTGTCGTAAGTGAAGTGAATGTCATACAATATTTGCTTACAATTTTCAATGTTTTAAAGTTAAACTTTGAAATATTCTACTAAAACAGCATTTGTGAACTTTAAATTTATAAACAAAATATAATAACCATTATTTTTGTCTTCTTTATGTGCAAAACGTAATGGTTAGTCACTGAGGTACCAAAGTATGTCTGCATGAATGAGTGGGTGCATGCTGTGTGCTCTATCTATAGATCAAGATCCACTATGTATAAGATAATATAATACACGTATTATATAATTATCTCTATACCTGATTAGACTATGGTGTACATATGTGCATGCTAATAATGTAATTTGCCTAAACCCTAACCCAAACAGAAATTACTTGAATAGCTATAATAACAAATGATATATGTTGTACACACACTTGTATGTTGCATGAGTATTCAGAGGCAAATGTCAATGGCACACGATTGAAGACATTTCGAAAAAGACAAACTGATGACAGTGGTTCTGACTTCGCCAATAATATTAATTTCAAACTTTTGTCGGTTTTCAGCTCATCTTATGCTGTATACACACTTTTTCCAATGTAGCCATAACACCATTGTCATCTACTGACTCCTCATGCTCACTTTGTACTTTCAGTTAATATTTTAGCCGTGATTGCTAATATAAGGATTTTTACAAAGCAGCTTTACGAATGAATTTCTTTTTTATTCTTGGTCGAAAATCATACGCTACGATTAAATTAACTTATTATTCAGTACACCTAAATCATAACATACTTATATATTTCAGCTGCGAGAATTGGTGGAGCAGTGGTAACAATTGGTGAAAATTTTGATATAAGCCAAAACAACCAGTGTGGTGATCAAGTAGACTGGGATGCAAACACATATGATTTGAAGATTCCATTTAAATGCCATCTCAGAGGGCGATATGTTGGTGTAACACTGAGAGATCACACCAACAGTTTACAACTGCGTGAAGTAGAAGTCTATAGCGATTAATTATACATTGGATCATATTGTGAAATAAATAAATTTGTAGTGACACACAGCAGCATATCTGTTTCAATTTTGTCAATTGACATCTTTCATCTTACCTCATCCAACCTGACCATGCTGTTTTTTTTTGTTTGTGCTAATAAGATTCATGAATCAATTTAAAGCGCGCCCTTCAATCCTCGTTATTGTACCAGTGTGGAAATGGAATCTTATATATATATATATCATCATAGTTTATTGGCTAAATATACTAAAAATATACATAGAAATTGGATTGGCCTTGCGCACTAAAATACAATCTAAAATACAATCATTGGCTAGATGTAACAAAGACTACATAGAGGCCTTACATAAATTTGACATCATGCGTCGGACGGCTGTGGGGTAGAAGCCTTTGGCTGACCGGGACGATGTGGATGTCAGTAATCGATAGCGCCTTCCGGACGGTAGAAGTTCGAACAAATCATGCGCAGGATGAGACGTGTCACCGATGATTCGTTCGGCTCGCTTGTCCAGGCGTTTCCAGTACACACCGTGACGGAGAGCATCAAGATACTCTCGATCACGGAGCGGTAAAATTTAAGCAGCAGAGAGTCTTCAAATGAAAACCTTTCAATATATGAAGGAAGAACAGCCGACGCTGGGCCTTCATGACGCAGTGCCCGACATGCGCCGACCAAGTCAATTCGCTGGATATGTGGACGCCGAGATACTTCAAGCAGTCAACGCGCTCCACCTCCGAGTCGTCAATGACCAATGGAGAGACGGGCGAAAATCGACGACCATCTCTTTCGTTTTGGCCACAGTACATTCAGCTGGAGGTTGTTCTCAGCACACCACACAACCAGCTCGTCGACCTGGCGGCGGAATGTCCAGTGTTTACATGTGATATTACTTTAATTAGTGTGGTTTTGGCATATACACCATTAAGCAAATGTTATTCAAATAACATTTAGTTTCTACTAAATTTGATAAGTAATTAATAAACCCTTCATATAGTCGTTTCATTTATGTGCTTAAACGATAATAAAATTAATCATTGCGACCTTTCATTAGTGTTACTGATGAATTACAATATTCTACATGTGTACTCATTGTGTAGTGTACACCTCCCGAAAAGGGCCAAATGTTAATGGGTGTGTCGAACCTTGTACATAAACAACAAATGTAGTCGACAGCTATGTAGGCGAGGTTCCAATAAACTTTACTCAGTTACGATTGGCCTCGAAATCATATGCATATGCGCAAAAACAAACGCAGTTCGAAATGACATGTTGTGAACACCACCCACATCGAATAGATGGTAATGTCACAAGAACCATATATAGGTTCAAGCTACAG